ATTGGGGTTATATATATACCCTAGTTGTCCCTTTTGCAGACAGCCACTAAAAACTTTCTGCAAACAATCTGCAAGTAAATAGAGCCCAGGTATCTTGAACTTTTTTCCTTGCAGTCGACGCGTCTACCCCTCCCTACGACCTGTATGTTGGTCCATAAAGTCCTTCGAGCCAAGGACGCCGGAGTCATGGCTCGGAACTTCCAGGCGAAATGCTGCACATATGTCAGGGGTGCACCGCGTGAAGGTTGACTTCGGGGTTAGACCTGACATAACCTGGGTTGCTGATAAGGAACTTAAATTAAGTTACTAAATTGGGGAAACCCTATTATTTACTATATATACCCATTATGCTTAATTAAAGTTCATTAAATCCCTATATTCCCCCAGCTTCCATTTCATTTTCCATTTCATTNNTTCCTTAACAGCAACCCAGATAACGTGCATGTGGTTTTTATGGGTTACATGTTGGATCTTCGGCTTCACCGGGGCAAGGTTGTCTGGAAACAATGGGTTTAGGGTTTAGGGTTTAGGGCTTAGGGTTTAGGGTTTAGGGCTTAGGGTGATTCTGGGCAGTGATGCTGTTCTGCCGACTCAGGGCAAACAGGGGCAAGTCAGTGACAGCAAAGCAGGTCAAGTAGCAGGCAAGCCAGGAAAGTATATTTGTCGGCAAGGCACCAAGAGTTGCGAGATTACAACAATATGAATAATGATGGTAGTCGAGAAAGTACTGATAATAACAACAGCAATGGTAACAATGGTACAAGAATGATATAAATAATCAGGTTTCTGTAGGTCTGGTGTCGAAAGGGACTGGAATGGGCTTAGGAGACAGGGGTATTGTGGAACATCCAGGCCTCCAGGGACAACTGCTGTCCATGCCTAGGACAGTCAAGCCTCCGCATCGCACGGGCCACGAGAAAAGGTGGATGCTGTTTTGGATGTGTAGCTACCGGCGGGCTAGCCCTACGATTGAACCCCCCTGAACCAATGCCCGTTCTAAAACCTGAGCTCTAAGCCTCAAGACTTCCGACCAAACGCCGAACCTCTGGAAGGTGTGGGCAGCATTGCTGATGCTGTGCCTGTTGTATGGGCACTTAGGGGGTGAGGCCGGGCACAAGCAGTCGCTGTGGCAGCGGTTAAACACTCGAAGAATATGAATAGCCATGAGCCGGCAGCTGACGAAACTCCTCGGGAACAGCATGCAGCCAGCCCTTCTTAAGCCAGCGTATCGCAGCACTGGTCAGAATATAGGAATAGCTGGCGGGCTTGAATCCTCGAGCCTTGGGGTGTTCTTCTGGTTTTGCAGGTTGTAAGTGCTGCTTCTGAAGATGGTAGGTTTTGGTGCCAGTCCGGGAGGAGGGCTGGGTGAAAAGGCGGAGGATATGCGATTTGAATTTTCACGTGAAGACCCCAAGATCTTCTGTTCCGGAGTTTAGTTCAATAGACGACAAAGTCGTGCTCTAAAGATACAGCTGCAGTGAAAATCTCGCGAGCTGTTGGAATCCATGCCACAATTTGGACAGTGCTCTTTCTAGAATGGGCTTCGTAGAGCTGCAGGCATTGAAGACTGCTGCTGTGGAAGAAGCCGTGCCTCTGTCGCAAAGCAGCCGCACCACTTTGCATGCAGCTCATAACCCTAGCGTTCATGCTTACAATGCGTTGTTCATATCTCATTACATGACAACTGCTACGGCGCCACCGCCACCGCCGACGTCGCCACCTCCACCGCTGCCAGCGGATCCGCCGCCACCAACAACAGTAAGCAGAAGAAGAAGAAGCAAACACCATCCTCATACAGCAGTACTCGCACTATCATTTTCTGGCTGCGTGCTGGCTAAGTTCTCAGGCTGAGCCTGCTCCCTCTGCCGCGGCTTCATCAGATCTGACGTCAAGTCTTGCAAGGCCGCTGAGATTGAGTAAGTCCTTGGTTTGAAAGAAGTGCTTTGCAAGGGTTGCATGTGACGAGACACGCAACGCCAGTCGTCCTGTGGCTTGTAAACCCTAAACACCTCAACCCTAACCCTAAATCGAAGAAAACAAGAGGGATAGTTTCATATAGCAATGGGCCTCAAAAACCAGGGACAGCATCTGCAGATTCCGTTCACGTCTTTTTTTTACTTTTTCTTGGGCCGGCTAGCCATCCCCCCTTCCACGCACCCCAAATTAGGCACGCTTCTTCTCTTGCTATATGGGGGGTTCCCCAAAATTAGGGGTACCTTTTGGGGGTCCCAATAAAAAGGATTATATTATGTTTTGGACTACATTGGGGTTCCCCTATTTGGGGAAAGTACCGTATATATATATGAGAATAGCAATCATATTAATTCTTGTATTCGTCATCGTAATAATAGCAGTAGTCAACGTATTACTCGTAACGACATAGTAGTAGTGATTATGGTGATAAAGATAGAGGGACCCTCAACCTGAGAAATGCTCAGCCAGAAAGACGAAGACGTCATTGCTTTGTAAAGCCGCAAAAGCCGCACACAGGTGAAGCCCAAAGACCGGAAACCCTGATCCCTAAACCGGTGTTCTGGCCGAAAAATCATCAGTTTGGTTTTGTCATCAAAAGTGCTGGGCTTTCGTGACTCAGAAACAAGTAAATCGGAGTTTCCCAGAATTAGGAGCTCTTTATAGAAATGCAAGATGACTGGCTTCATGTTCTGAAACTTGCTGAATGGCACCACGAGGAGTTCATCCCTAACCTTCAGCCCTAACCCTAAAACCCTAACCCTAAAACCCTAACCCTAAAATCCTAAACCCTAAACCTTGGACCCTAAGCCTCAACCACTGCTTTGTCTGGGCTCCCTTCAGGATCGCGCAGAGCTCCGAGGGCCTCAAAGTGGGGGAAGGAGTGCACATGGATGAACAGAAATATGATAATCTGGGTTGCTGTCAAGATCCACCATAATGGAGAATCAAATGGAAAAGAAAATGGAAAATGAAATGGAAACTGGGGGAATACAGGGATCAAGGAACTTAAAATAAGTTACTATATTGGGGAAACCCTATATTTCCTATATATACCCATTACGGTAACTTAATTTAAGTTCCTTAAAAGCAACCCAGTAATGTGGTAGCCCCACCCCCCAAATGGAGGTTTCCATACATTAGGGGATCCTGATACATGTAGATATACCGCAAAAGACGACGAGCATTGTTTTAAGGATTTCCAAAGCTTCCAAACAGGGGCTCCTCAATTTCTGGAAACCTCCAAGTTTGGATCCAACAGGGTCTTCTTTTGGACGAGATTAGGTTACTCAATGTTGTTGTTTCTTTTTTTTTTATAGAGATTATGCAAAGCAGCCACACAGTAGAAAAAAATGTGATTTCAGCAGTGCTTCCAAGTCTGGGTCGGAGAGTGTGCAAGCTGAACAAGTCCTAGAGTCTGCAAAGGGCACAATATGAATCTTCAACAAAAGCTGTCTTGGTAAACCCAAATGTGGAATTACCATACTCGCTTGCAGGTCAGCATGAACCATGGTGAGCAGGGAAGGGAAATGTGTTGTGGTGGTTAGGCAGGGATCACAGATGACTGAGTGCTTGGTTTAGGATACGGCAGTTCAGGCCGTGCCAACTTTGCCTAACATGCTTTCAAGTCGTAGTTGCAAGTTTCAGGGCGGTGGTTTGGAGGTTGAAGATGTTACTGCGGGGATGCGGGGGGGCACTTAGGTACCAGAAGCCTGCTGCTGAGCAAATCAATCATTTTTTGGGAAACATAGGCTTTGACCATTAATCCTAAACTCCAAACCCTTTGGGGTTTAGAGATGTCCCAGTTAGTGCCTCTTGAAATTCTGCAGCTTCGTAGATTGGCTTCCTCGGCCAAGCCCGTCACGGTACTACATCCTATGCTCTACATGCCCTGCATGTTCCTTCCATGTCATGTGCATAGGCGCTTCCCGAAATGATTTCTGTACAACCCTTAAAAGGCCGTCCATTTGCAGGCCGTACGCACGCGAGGTTCCCAGGCTTGCCCTTATATCATCTTGGGAAGGGGGGGCGTGCAATTCCCAGCAACTCCCCGCGAATTGAGAAAGTCCTATCTCTCTAGGTGCGCCGAAGGTATCTCTGTTCTGAGAAGCGCCATGAAACACCACAATTTCCAGCAGTGCGGTTTTCGTGGCTGCTTTCTGCTAACTCCTGTACCTCTCGAACCCGTAAACCAAAGACAGCATGCCCATCCAGCCCTAAAGCATTCGTGCAGAACTTCTTGGAATCTTGCGCCGGGCCGGTTGCAGTGGAGCCGGAGCTCATGGCAAAGTGGCGGTGGATGAGGCAGGATATCACCGGTGCTTGACGAGTGGGGAATCACATGGAACACATGAAGCACGAAGTGGGAGTTGGGAATACTTAGAGGTCTATAGAGGTTGTTATGTCGCAGCATCTTGCTTGCAGCTTGAAGCACCTACTCAATCCTTTGCACACATGCTTCTTTGGCCTGCCAGCAAGCGAACGACCGTTGCCCCATGCTCAAGCGTTCAGCTCTCAAAAGCCACTCTGCAGCAAACATGCCGCTGCACCTCTTGCCGAAATGGCTGGTTCATCCGCAGCCGACGCTTTCCGACAGAGTGCGACAATCGGAGCTGCCACAGGCTGTGAAGGAGCTTGATCTCGATCTCATCCGAAACTCTGACGACTTCGATAATGCCACCTGCGGCTTTGGCCCAGACCACGAGGGCATTGTCTACATGGCCAAGCACTCCAGGTCCCTAGCGGGCTTCTACCATTCTTGCAGCTGCGAGGTCCGTCACTTCCGGCTACCGCCTCTGCGACAGCTGCCTTCACCAAAGGACAGGAGCGGGAGCGACGTCGGCAGACCAGATTTCCTTCAGAAGTGGATGAGGTATATGATGCCATCCATTGGTGACCTTACCTTGTATAACCTATGCCTGCCTGGCACACACGACTCCTTGACCTACGATCTTGGTCTCCACCCGGCCATCGGTGACACCATTCCGAATTTGGGGCCGTTGGGAGAGGAGCCTTTGAACCGTGGTGCGATGACCGAGGTGCGTAAGCTTTGCGCCTGCCAGAAGATCGACATCGAGGCCCAACTTTCTGCTGGCATCCGCTTCTTTGACTTCCGGGTCATCTATTCTCGCGACCGGTGGGTGGGGGTTCACGGCATGGAGACTGAGAGAGAAGCCTTGTTCTACTTGGAGAAGATCTGCACGTGGTTGCAGGAACATCCAGACGAGGTCGTGGTCCTCTGGCTGTCTAGGCATGGGAATGAGACCGAGACGGGGAACGAGCAGTACCCTGACGTTTCCGCCAACAAAAAGCAGGAGTTCTATAGGCAGATCCTTCACACTTTTGGTGATTTTGTGGTGGACCACCAGGTCACGCCCCTGGACAGCACGCCATTGAAGGATCTTGTAGGCTCCGGCAAACAGGTGGTCCTGATCTGCTCTGACTGGGCTGAGTTCACAGGGCGCTGCAGCAAAGCATTGGATGCAGCACAGGTGATTGAGAACCACCTACCCGGGAGCTTCTGTGATCCAGTCCTCGAGTCCTTGGAGTTCTTCAGCAACTTGAGGCTGAGGGACGGCAAGTATCACCTCGTCTCCCTTGCTAACAGCGCCGACAAAGGGGCGTTTGTGAAGCAGATTCTGCCTCAAGGAGTGCGCGGCATGATCAACTTGTTCGGTGACACACTTCCCAAAAGCAAATTGGAGGATGTACCCGGAATGGAAAACAATCCCTGGAGGCTGGACCACGCTGCGAGATTCACCAACTACTATGTGCAGACCGTGCTGGATACTGTGTGGAATAGGTGCACCCTTCCACATGCAATATATTTAGACATGGTGACTGCAGACGGGGGCATCGAGATCGGAAACGGCCGCAACTTGGTAGCCTTAAGCCTCACTGTAGAGGCCTTAGGATTTTTCTGAATGTATAACACCCTCCCGCCGCATACTATGAAGCATTCGCTACAAGAGACCTTGTATCTTGAACAAATGTTTTGTATAAGCGGGCAGGGGGCTTCTGATGTTAGGAAAGGTGACTTTTCCCATGATGCAATCAGGCAGTACCTCTTTGCCAGTAGTCTTTCAGACAAAGGCCAGTTTGGATATGTCGATTCCATTCTCGTATACAATGCGCTGCAGGGCGGCGACCAGGACTTGGTCGCGAAGATGCGGCTGGGCTTTTGCTGACATATGGGGTTTTGCTTAACATGGGGGGAAGTTGGGGACCTTGCGGAATCACTGAGATTACAAAAGGTTCATTGATGTGGGTTACGCAGGATTCTGAGCGCATGATTTTGAGAACTTCGCATGTTTGAGGCATACTTTAATGAGTATACTGCTAATCCCCATTTTGAACTTCGTCTTCCAGCACAGCTTTCGAGATGGGTTCCTCCATTTCAGGAAATATTTTGGAACAACTTCCTTTGGCTAGTCTCCACACGAAAACCGCGCACGCATGAACCCTCCGATGCGATCCATATATTTATATATGCATATATGTATAAGTGTATATATATACATATGTAATTATGTAGAATCTCAGTCAAAATACCGTTCTGATCCCCATATGTTCCCTTCATAACCCCTATAAGTTCCCTATAAGCGCAAGATCACTTAAGGCTAGGGCGCCTGGACTTGCTTCCGCGTAGCTTGTGGGAAGACCGTCGGGAAGGGCGCTCAGCCGTGTGGCCTTTGAGGTCTCCATAAAATGCGGTTTAGGATTTGGGGTTTAGGGATATGAAGGCCTGAATTGCTACCAGTATTACCAGAGTTAGGGTTTTGAGTTTGGGGTTTAGGGGTTTAGGGTTTAGAGGTTTGGGGTTTAGGGTTAGGGTTTAGGGTTTAGGGTTCACGCGCGCGGGTGTCTTGAAAGAGGGGTGGCCTATGTAAAGGACCCTAGGCCCTGCGCAAAACGGGCAGTTTCCATGATAAATAAGGGGAACGCTGACATAGACCTACCAAAAATCAACACCGTAATTTGAGTATTGGGATCCCCGAAAAGGTGCCCAAATTGTGGCAAGCCACCATGTACATATAGATATACATATATATGAGGCTGTAGGAGTTTCCACGCGAGTTTGCCAGCATTGTCTTCATATGATCCTTGAAAGGCACCCCGACATAAATCCCAGCATAACCTGTGGTGCCTCAGGGTGCCCGATTTTGAGAGTTCTGTAGAAGTCCTGCGATCCCCGCAAATTTGCTGGCTGGCGGACTTTCTCAATCCTCCCAGGCTTTCATAGTGACATGGCCAGGAGTGCCTTTTATCCAGCATGTTATTGCTGATTGCTGGCGTGGCAGGCAGTGCCTGTCTGAGCTCTGATCCTGCGCCATGTGTAGTCCGGCGTCAACATCTTGAGCTCTTTTCCACGCCATGTGCGCTTTGAGTGTATCTCTCGGAGTCTTTGCAAGGAAGCATGTTACCGAAAACACCTGCCTGCAAGGCTTGCTGTGTGCTAGCTGACTTATGTCTCGCAATTGCACGCAGGCATCGTTCTCCTTGAACAGGACACTCTCGGAGACAGGAAAGGCAGCCTGAATGATGGAAGGGGGAGGAATTAGCTTCAAATACTCCTGTCAGAAAGCTTGCGCACGAGACGCAGGTTTGGGATGTGAGGTTTCAGCATTGAAGTTGAAATCCCACATGCTTAGCGCTTTGTCCCCCTTGTGTGTGACAAACAGTTTGTGTCCAGGAGCGAATATGACGTACAACTAGCTGTTTTTGAGATTCGAGGTTGGGGGCCGCAACGCGCTCAAGTTGATTGTTTTTGCTGATTGCCCCATTCTGACGAAATCATTTCAATGACAGGCCTTGCCTACGAATGTGTCAGGCTCCCGCATGTCAGTTTCTCAACATAGTTCGTGTCGGATTCTGAACTTGAAAGTAATTCGCGTATTAAATCTAGCAAATCCCACTCAAAGCAGCACAGATATTCAAAAAAACATTTACAAGCCAACCAGGTCAACCATCGACAGTCTGCATTAACAAGATTTCTGCACAGATTGACCTACCCCACACACCTCAGGACCACTTACGAAGGTCAAAAATCCAGATGCCCTGCAGAACAGCTTGCTTGGACCAACACCATATGAGCCATAGTCTAAACTCCTTAAAGGGAGTTATATGGGGGATTATCTAGGGGACTACTATAGGGGTTATTAACGGGGATACTAGGAGTTTAGACTATAGCTCATATTGCGAGTAGTCTCCTTTCGGTATGTTCCTACATATTTGAACAACCGGGACTTATGCGATCTACCACATCTTTAGCTTATGGATGGTTAGTAGGGAAGGAAGGAATGGATCCTACGGCGGCCCCATAGAACCCCTTCTGCTGACCCTGAACTGACCCTAAATGCCATTCCTGCGCCCTAAGCCCTTCATGCCCTACCACCAGTAAGCTGGAAGGTTTGGGAAGCATTGCAGATGCTATGCCTGCTGTATGGCCAATTTGGAAGTGAGGCTTGGCAGAAGGGTTTAGGGTTGAGTTTCCGAAGCTGGGCTTTTGTAAGACCCTCAGACTCAGCAGCACCATGGCGGAATGGTCGGACTATTGGTGACTTGAAGCTTACCTTTCATGGTTCTCAAGCATCGGCTGTTTGTCGGCCAGACCCACTCGACACGTGACGGGTCCTTATTTTGCGCGACATTGGGCCAGTCTGCATGCGGAAAGTTCAGCTTTTGCAAGCTGTGGGAGCATTGGCCGACTTCTTTCGAGGGTTTCAGGTGCAACAGAGTGTTGAGCCTTTTTGCTAGATTTGGGGAATCAGAGGCAGACTGGTGGCCCCAGAAAGCTTCAGTTCTCAATGGCTTCAGCGCTACTCAGCCCTAGGTGGAGATAATCTGTCGTGACCAGGTCATGGCAATCCCTACCTCTAGTAGCAAGCACCCTTTGTCTGATATTACATATATATATATATATATCTATGTGCACTTTCATGTGTTCAGAATCCTCAGTGGGAAGATTTGATATTCGAAGGTGCGAGTTGTTAGAACCTTGATGGTCCAAGCACCCAAGGTGCAAAAAATCCCCAGAACCAGTACTGCAATCATTTTGCACCAAATCCCAAGTTACACCTTATTGGGTACTGGAACCCTTGAGGAAACATATGCTGTCTCTAGGGTCTTTTGTGCCAGCTTGCGCACCAGTTCTTTCGACTTACACATCCTTGAGAACGATGACAGCAAAAACAAATACTCACGCAGTGTGAACACGTCGTGGATGCACAAGTGGCTTTGCTGTGAACAGGACGTTTCAAGATCACTATGAGCCATAATCGCAATTCCAAATGCTTAAATGACATAACATCGCAAGCTATGGAAGAACATGTTGAGTCTTGGCAGGAGGTACAGGTACAAGGAAGGACGTGAATATGAGACTGCTGCACGAATCTCACGGATGCAGGTGTTGCAGACTTCGGCGGAGCAAGCATCGTCCACTGTGCTGCAAAGCGGCCGCAATGGTACGAAGAGGTCCCACATCATACTGCGGATGGAAACTTTCACACACAGAAAGCCATCTGACACCTTGCAAGTTCTGGCAGTTTCGCGCGTGCATCAAAGTTATGCACGATTTCGTTTGAGTTCTTCCCACAGCGGTGCTGAGATTCATCCTCGGGTTTCGCACGCGTATACTTGCATCAAGTGGCTGTTTGTGTCTCGTTTGAGCTCGTTCAGACAGTAGCCTGAACATTCAATCGCAGTGGCTGCAATTGAAACAGCAATGGCAGTAAGATCATCAGCAGTAGCTGCATAGTGAGAAGACCGTTAAGAAGGGCAAGAAATCGCAAGAATCCTTACTATCCTGCCGGCCAGACTCTCTCCTCTGGCACCATCACTGGTTTCGAGGCCGATGGCATGACAAGTCTTACTGTCTAACTGGGCATGATTAGTAGGGGTTACATAGGGATAATGGAAAGGAAGGGGTTATACAGGGATAATGGAAAAGAAGATGGAAACTATCATATTACAATAGGGTATATATTGGGGTACGGTAAGGTCATGGAACTAGAAGTCTTTGCTTGATGTCACACTATTGTCATCCCATTCTATGTCAACGTTATGATCGTGCTGGTACTGAGGTTTCACTTGCTTGTGGGGGTTCAGGCTCAGATTTGCCGGTTTCAGGTCTTAGGTATGACATGTTCCTCATGCCGCCAGCCCAGTTTAGCAGCCTACATGCTGAGTTGAAGTTTCTGAGAGATCTGCTTCACGCAGTCTCTGTGAAAAGGAAGGTCTAATCCTTCATACGGGAATTGACCCTGAGCCCCTGACTAGTATGAGACCTACGGAGGTCAGAATTGGGAGCGTTCTTCATTTCTTTAGACCGAAATCACGTTTGCGTTCTGGACCGGACGCCCTTCTTTCACTAGTCCACGCTCAATCTCACATGTTGGACCAGAAGGGCGCTTTTCCGCAGCAGAACAACATACGGGGGTCCCAATAATCAGGGTTATAGTATTTCAGGGTATATATTAGGGTCCCCTCTATTGAGGGAACCTACCAATATCTCTGAAAACACCAGGCCATCAATTCTTGGATCTGTAAGATCCCAAGACAGACTGGCCTGCAGGTCTTCCATCAGCCGCAAAGTGGAACAAGGCAGACGATGGGAACGGGGTGTTTAGGGTTTAGGTTTTTGAGGGACCCTGGAGTTGGGCAATATACTACTGTCGATGGAGGAAATCTTGCACCACCTAGGGGCCCTAAACTACTGTAATTCCTAGGACTTTAAGGACTTAAGGTGGTGCAAGATTCCATCCATCAACAGTATGTCCCCTCAACAAGCCCATTATAGCCCTTTGTAAGTAGGTTCTCTAATCCGTTAGTCACCGCAGGGTCCTTCAAAGTAGTGTCCGCCTGATAACTGAGGGTTGAATCGAGTGCGAGATTGTCGTGTAGGACTCTATGAATGGGTTGATGCCTTTCTGGCGCATTGAAATGAAATTTGCAGGGTTTAGGTCGGATACATGCCACGTGCCTTCAGGAGCAGGTTCTCCCTGTATATCTATGTTGGGGCATAGGGCATGCCAACATGGTGAGCAAGGGAATGCTTGACAAGCAGCGGCCGGGATGAAGGGGACCCTAGGGTAAAGTCGACTTGGGATCTGCATTATACATTTATGGAATCACCTTTGTGTGCGGATGGAAGGATCAAGCTTGTAAGCTTTGGCGCTTGTGCTTGGGTCCAGGTACCTGGCGGTGCATGGATGAAATATGGCACCACTTAGGATCCTGGAAATATTGTAATCGTGGGGGTATGGGCTATTTGAGGTGGTGCAAGGTTTCCTCCATCCACCGTAGGACTCTACCCTAAATCCTAATATACTAAGCCCTGAACCCTAAATCCTGTATACTAGGCCCTAAACCCTAAACTTTCTGCTTGTGAAGTTGACTTGGGTAGCTGTGGCCCCTTTTGAGGCTGCAGTACATCAAGCATCTGCCGGGCATAGAAGGAACGAGAGACAGGTGAACGCAATGCTTCCTACTCCAATGGATTTATGTAGTTGTGATGAGACGGAAAATTCTACTCACAGGTTGCACCTAGCCTAAGTCCTGTGAAGTCCAGACATGGCCTGGCCAACCCAATCTCCTCTGCGCCGAAGCCCGAAGCCTGACCACTCGCATCCAAGAAAGACTAGGTTGCTGTCAAGCATTAAAGTAATTGAGACCAAAATGTGGGGGCATATCGTAAGTAATGTGGTTT